AAAGAAAAGGTAGCCAGCTTGTCAGGTTCTTATCAGACTACAGAGACGCAGATATACCCCAATTTTTATCTTCTTCTTTCTTCCCCCATTCATTTCTCCACCTAACATAATTGTTGGTGATTAAAAAGTAAATCTATAGACTCTACACATTTGTGGTAAAATATTAAGTAATGTTCTACATGTGGCCACATCCCAATTAATTACCATTTGTCAAAAGTAAAAAGAGTGTGTTAAACGTGTTGCACACGTGTGTCCTCCCATGTAGAGGAGCACAGCAGTGGTGTGCTTGCCTTCCTCGAGTGATTCTGTGTTGATTAACCCAATTAATAGTGTATGCCGTCTGTGCCTCTGCTGTATCCCGTGTTACATGTTTGGCCTTTTAATGAGGATTGCATTAAAAGTGCTCTAAAGGCAAAGGCCAGCTTGATACAAAGGCGTATGGTTATGTGTGTGTTGCCAGGCCAATTCCTATTACGCAGAAATTCTGTGTTCTCAATCCAAGCTTTGTTTGACATGGGGAGTAATAGTCAGCAGAAGATCATTAATGACATATGGGGGTAATTTAGAAGGATTTGAACTTAGGCGGGTGTCTGTTTAGCTGGGAGCTGATTTATTTGTAATGGCAACATCAGTCTACAGTATTTAATGATGGCATATACACAAGTCAGATTTCCGGTCTCCCTCACAACTAGCCAAGCTCAGCTAAAAATCACAAGACAATACCTGCCTACAGGTCAATCATTATTGCTCTCCAGCTCTTATAGGGGCGGACAGGTGAAGTGGAATGGGCCTGTCAGGGTTTATGCATACAGCTCGGCAAGTATCTGAGTCGAGGTTACCTAAAGTGCACTGGGGCTCTGCTGCTGGCTCTGTTTGAGGGCCTTAACCAAGGACTCAAGGGATGAGCGGAGAATTTCAGTCGGTGTGTATGAGTGTGTACGTGCATGCATGTTGAAGTATTTTTCTGGGCATGCGTATCCATGTGTGTGTCTGTGTGCTATTGTGTGTCTGTGTGTGTATATATACACTAGAGCAGGATCAGTGGAGTAAATCCACACTTGAAAGAGTAGCTCAATCAAGTTCTCCCACCCATTTCTCTCCCTCCCTCTCTCCCTCCCTCCCTCTGTCTCATCTCGCCGATGTTCCTCTGCTCCCAGTTCATGGAGAGTTGAAGAGTTCAAAGAACTAGGGAGCAAAGGAGCAATGCTGAGGGCAAAGCGGAACAAGTGTGAACCTTAAACACAATCCCACCAGGACCCTCTTCCAACTGTCAATCAATCAGTAAGGAGCAACCATTGACAGGGCGTTACACAATATTCAATATTTGCTCGGCTCGCATGTCAACTGTTGAAATATTGATGGTGGTTTCAGACATGGACAAAAAACGTTTACATCAGAAGGTAAAGCTTTAAGTTTAAGCGCTTTAAGTGCATATTGTTATTTAAATTAATGCAAAACAATATTTAATCTACAATTCTCTCGCCATAATAATAAACACTACTAGCGGTTACGTTACTGTGAGTTTAGCTTAGCTGGTTAAGTATAGGTTTTTCCATGGTAGACATCCAGGCTCCTAATTCCAAGCATGTCAATTATAAGATTACTTAAAAGCAATACTATCATTATAATGCCTTCAACTTCAAATTACCACCAAGTTTGCAGACAAAACAACCTTTTGGTTATCACTTAATTGTCCCTCTTTGTTCACTCACTGCAGCTAGGTCCTCTTCAATGACAAGTAAAGCCTGTTCCTTGAAAGGGAATAAAAAGCATGACCTCATTTTGTTTCCTGTGCGATTTAATAAAGGCAATTTTACGCTGCCAAATGTGGAAAAGATGCCCTTCATTAGAACAATGCATGCCCTACGTGTCCGTACTTTAATCCAATCAGTTTAGCATGATAAAGGGCATCACTGCCAGCCAATCCTGTTGCCCACCCACTCATAACATGTGTGCATGTACATGCATGCAATGACATGAAGAAATTATAGTGGCCCAAGGACTACTGGACACTTTTTCCTGCCATACTGAAACGACATCTCTTCCAATGACATTTAAATTTGTCATAACCTAGGCCAGTGTCAGGCCATTGAGGTAAAGTGCCTTAAGAGTCCGCCCCCTAATGTAACAGCAACCTACACTTGGTTTATTTCTTTGGTCAATGCAAATGAATCAGATATTGATGCAAGATAGATGTGTTCAAATTAAATATGAATTGAAAATATACTTTAGAGAAGTAAGCTTTAATATTTGGAATATATCTTAACAGAGGAGACAAATGTGCCATTGGTATTTTTAAATTACAAAACAAGGTTATGACAAATTTCATCGGAGGAGATGTCATTGAATTTTTATGCCTTAAGAATCAAAGCATTTATAGGTGAAGAGAAAAGAGAAAAACAAAACACACAATGTCTATCTATTTGAAGGATCTTTTCATTACATTTAAATGAACAAAAGATGCCCTGCTTGAAGGAAAAATGGCCTCCGGTGGACTGCAATGGGTCATTAATTAGCTCTATAAAACTCTTATTTGAATTAAGGGTAGAGTGAAACTTTTTATGAGAAAGATTTCATTAGTGTCTCAAAAGAGCTTGAAGCTGCTTTTCCTCCGTTTGAGAAATAAAAGAGGAGAGCTTCTCCTTAACCCGACAAATGGTTCAGGTACTGAATTAACAGACCATCTTTAATGCACTTGTCAGGCTGGAAAATCCATAAAGATTTCTAGAAAAGTGAGGAGTTTCTGCGGCACTCTATTCAGATGAACGCTGGCATTGACTTAACAGGAAGACGAAAGGGTTTTGGTTGTGTGTCTACGTGTGTTCACAGTGACTCGTTCTGCATTACTCTTTACAACCTTGCCACTTGTAGAAATGTATCAACATCCTGTGTGTACATACAGGCTGTGGAGATCTGAAACACTCAGAGTGCCTAAAGAAGTGACAGGCAGGCTGAATAGAGACAAGCAATCCTTAGACAAGAGTACATGAATTGAAGTGCTTTCCACATTGTCAGGCTGGGCTGAGGCCCGGCAGAGACAGACAGGGAGAACGATCATACTAGACAGGAGACCATAACATGATGGCACCTTTTGTCAGCTTTTAAATCCATAATAATAATAATAATAATAATAATAATAATAATAATAATAATAATGTCTGTGTGATCAGATACAGTTTACTCTGTTCAGACATGAGTGTTCAGATTAAAGAAGTATTCCACACAACTAAATTATATGACCGTACTGTGATGAAACACATTAATGCTGGTGTTCATACTGATATTCTCATCTTATGAAAACTGGCATTTCGTGGGTTGAAAATGGGTCAACACGCAATCTGCAGTTTTAAATCACCTGGAACCGTGCAAGGCCAATGCCGACAGAGTCGACTGCTTGGGACTAATTTACATCATGACATTGATTGCATCATTCACAGGACTCTCTACTTAGTATTTTTTTATTTTGGTACAATGGTTCATTTCCCTTGATGATGATCACACGCACACATACATACCAGAGTGTTAGCCTCTCTGAGCCATTAGCTTAGCTACAACACAACCACTAGTCTAGCTCTCACCACACAGAAACGTTTAAAAACAGCTGTGAATGTGCTTTTAATAACTCATCCTAGCAGACTGTGCCGTCCTGTGCAGGTCTCTGATGCATTTTTTGATGCGTGGTGTATACACTTAAAGCGAGTAAGCTGTGTGGCTGCTGCGGAGCTGCTGCTGCCAGCCCTATCTTTCTATAATGAATTTGTCTTTGATAAATACCATACCATAAAAGTCTTGTTAACATATGAATGGGTTCTGTCCACAGAAACGCCAGAGAGCTTTTAATTTGAAACAGAACCATGCGGTGTTTTTTTTTTTCATGTCTGTAACATATTCTACAGATACAGACATTGAAACGGTAGTGAAAGGTGTATATATTGCTGGTATATGTAGATTAACAGACCCTTTTCAGTCTATTATTGCGGAATAAAATAAACGCGCGAGTCAATAGGGAGTGTGACTGCTCCAATCTGTTAACACGGGTGCCGAAATAAAAAGCAAAACGTTCCGCCACGCACACATGTTGCCCAGGTAGGCCGCAAGATGATGTACATATAAATGTGTCATTTCAATCATTCCACAATGTCACTTTTCAGTCTTCCTGCCCTCCTCTACTCTTTGTGTATTTATTTATAATTAGAGGGGGCCATTATCCTTTGGGTGTGACATGCTCAGTGGTTGCAGAAAGCTTCATAATTCTGCTACTGAAAAAAAAAAAATATAAGCTGATAAATTGTAACGTAGCTATAACTAGGGCAAATATCGCTCTGACGTATTTGTTCCTCTTAAAGTGAAATAATGTAAATGAAGCACAAGTTTAAACATAATTCTGCTTTTACGGGACAAAGTGCATGAAGGAAACCAGCTTAACAGCATTACAATTCAAATTAATGTCTTCTTTAGCCTCTCATTGGCTGGCCCTATTTCCGCAGACCACCAAGCCATGTGCACTGCCACCCGACGGCAAACCTGTGCCATCAGCTGCCCTGTCCACCTGGTCACCACTGTTAAATACACATCTCGTGCCAAAGACCTACCAGCAGCCATCACCAGTGGCACAGTGTATGAGGAAGTTGGGGCAGAAGGGAAGCGGAGATGAAATGTGGCAGTCACAGGAGGTGTGTGCAGCTAGCTATGTTTTTCCACTCCACTGGGGGTACAGCCAACCTGTTCTCCTGGTCTATATATGGCAGTAAACAGGATGCCAACAGTGGGATAGAGGTGGTGTGCCATATGTAGCCCCATTATCCTGTTGTTTGGACCAAGATTGTTGAGCATAGAAAGGCCTCTCTCAGCACTACTAAATCAGCGATAAACATGACCAACTTCCCTGGAAACTCAAACGACATTACTTGTGGGTAGCACTAAATAGCTTATTAGGCCATAGGCGGCTACCACTGTGTGCATGATGTGTGTGTATGAGCTTGTGTGTGGCATGTACTCACGGCAGGTACGAGGAGCTTCTTGACCTCCTCCACTGCTCTCCTCATCTTGAGCTCAGCTCTGGCCTGTGAATCTTCCACTGTGATCAGGACATGAAGGTCTTCATTTAGGTGTTCCCAGTTTGGCTTTCCTCTGTTCTGCTCCTCCTGGACAGAGATAGAGGGAGAGCGAAAGAGACGGTGAGTGAATGTGACAGTGTGGGTGTGTTGGAGCAGTAGTGCAGTAACACGGCATATCAGAGGAAGCGGAGGCGAGAGGCAGGCATACACAGAGGACGACAGGGCCCTGTGAAGAGAAGCTGGATGACAGGAGCGGCCCTTTAGTCAGCTATTTAGCTTTAACTTTGAAAGGACACCCTTCTTTAATAGATCCCTCGCTTCACAGAGACAAAGACGACAGCTAGCCCTGCAGCAATTAATATCAGTGAAAGATGGATGGGTGGAGGGATCAGAGAAAGATGGATAGGGATTTTCTAAGCCACACCAACTTAACTAGTAGAAATGCAATTATGGTACATGGATATAGTTCAAAGTGCCGCAGGATTGTGTGTGAAGGTGTACAAGCGTGTGCCTCTGTCTTTGACTTGTGTTTGAGTGGACAATGCTGTCCAGGTAACAATAGCTCTCTCAGGGAGTCGTTTTCCCTCCTGAAAAGGCAGCGCCAAAGCACTCAGAGGGCGCCAAATTGTAGCACTAGCAGTATCTGAAAGGCAAAATGGGCTGTATTCAAAACCAACATCACTGCTCGATAGCCTTCTAACACTTTTAAATAGGAAGCCGTTTCATGATTTGAATTGGGGAAGCTGAGGTTGGGAAATGGTGCACAACGTTTTTCAGGTGCCTCTGTGAAAAGCCCAGTCACACCTGAATCTTTTTTGTGAAAAGGTAAAATGGGAAATGTAGAGACAAATATGGAGTAGCCCTCACATTTCCAAAAAAACCACACTTCTCCATTTAGCATAACTACTTTCCTCCCTCTTCTGGTTGCCCCGCTGACAGTAAATGCAGCGAGCAGTCACAGAGCGCTCTAAAAAGCTTTTGAGGTTGTATCGCATGTCACTGTACAACCATGAAAGCCAGCGGTTTGAAAGACGACTACTTCTCCCTGAGGTGAGGAGTTGAGGTCTAGGTTGTCTGAAAAAAAACTTAACCTCCGATTCTCTGTGTGACACCACATTAAAACATCAAAAACGGATTATAATGTTACAATGGTAATATTTGATTTTATGAAGACAACAGCAACGTCAAAGGGAATGTAACTCAAAAATATTTCAAAATCAGAATTTCTTTTCCAAAAAAGGAGGTCAGAGTCTCAACTTGACTTGAAAGCCTCCCTGCTTGTACAGGTTTGTACAGACTGTTGATTAACACTGTGTGGATTAACCCCCACCGATACAAACCACCTCAACTTCAGATCACTGCTCATTTGTGAGTAGCACACAACTGTGAGGGTCTAATTACAAACAATGCATTGCAGTGGTCTGCAGGGGGTCCACCTGACACGATTTCAATACACTCAATGAGAGTGAGAAGAAGCCACCACACACCACACACCACAGCACACCACACACACACAACACACACACACAACCACACACACACACACCCACCTTAGAGCTCAGCTGAGTGCCACCCACCTGCTTTCTACTCAGAGACCTGTTTGCCATGGCCACTGCTCTTTACCCAACACCACACACACGCACAGAAGACACAGACAGGCGACACCCACCAATCTTCACAAACAGCAACGGACA